TGGCCACTGAAATGTAGCTTGTCTTTTCTGGTGTGAGCTGGTAGTGCCGGTTACGAAGACATGACCAGTATTATCCAAAATCTGTGTCTTCTGAGTAACGCTGAGCCAAAAACGTGCCTTTCTGTCCTACTCAGGCAGTGTCTATGGCATTTATTCTTTTAGTCTTGTCGGAACAAAAATGAAGTTCAAGGTTCAGCCATAAAATCCATTAGACTCTCTTGGGATTTATATGTCAGCAGCTTCATCTCCTGAACTTCTGTGAAGCATGCGGTGTCCTTGACTAAGAAATGTGTTTTCCTGTGTATTTTTTAAAGTAAACGTCTGCACATGTTAAAGGCATAGTGCCAGACCCATCTGTGTCCATAGATGCTACTGCTCAGCTAAGGGCTGCCCTGGGTAATGATTTGACCTAGTATGAAGTTCATTTGGGTTCATTTATTTGTTATTTTGGGAAAGACAGTTGTGTTGTTGTTGTTGTTGTCTTTGGTATTATGTGTTTATCTCACTCTTTGGGTTATTATTGGTTATTTTGTGACTGAACTAACAAGCTTTGTGATACGGTCATTTGCGTATTCAATTTCCTTCAGAGGGTAACTTCTGTGCAGGTTAGAATCCTGTCTTGTCTTTATGATTTCCATAGACCTTAGCTAAAACCCAGAATGCATTGCTCCATAATGGCTCAGGTGGTGCGTACCATACTTGACTGTACAAAGACTAAGGGAAAGAAAATCTTTTCAAATATCCCATTGATTCAAGTCTCCAGTTGCCATAAAGAAGCATGAATTAAATACTTAAGTTTTTTTACTCATTATCTGTGTTATTTTTTAAACCTAGGTGATTTAGTTTCCTAGTCTGAGGTAGCCTATGAAGGATTCCAAACACATTATGCCCTTGGATTTAAGTAACCTGTAGTTGGGTTCAGAAATGTAATCTAAATAGTCGATAATTATTTCCTCTTATCAGTCTACCTGTTCTGTCTGAGGAGAGAGCTCTCTTAATGAGAGAGATTAAATATTCTGGCAGGTTTCTTTTTAGAGATGTGGTCTCATTATGTAGTTAAGGCTGGTTTTGAACTTACTGTGTAGCCCGGCTGGCAATCCTTCTGCCTCAGCCTTCTGAGCGCTGGAATTATAGGCCTGTACCACCACACCCAGTTCTGACAGGTTTCTGAGACAGTGGCGGACTTTAAGCTTTGCTAGATTTTAGAAAATGTCACTCTTGTCCACGTTTAAATGAAGTGCCAGGGGTGACTCCGGTTGGCTTTGAGTCTTTTAGCATCTGTAGGTAAGTAGCAAACTTGGATCCACCAGGAGCTTGATCCCCACCCCACACCCACTTATAGCAGTCTTACTCAGAGACTGAGATAAGAATCTCTGACATCTCGTTCTGGAATGTTTACATAAGAAAGTTTCCTCCATAAACTTTTATAATTTACTTTGATACAAATATTGACTTTTTTCCCCGTTTCCTTAGGCAAGCCAGGTAATAAATAGAGGCAATTCTTAATCTTACAAAATAAACTTAACAGTATTTAATCTGTTTATTATAGAAAAAAAAACCATGAGTATACTGATGAAAAACATTAAAATCACTGTTATTCCACCACTCGAGGCTAAATCATATAAACCCTTAGATATATATCTTACAGTGTATTTTTCCTCCAATATGTATGTTGTATATGTATGTATGCTGCTTTACAGAATAAAATTGAACCACATGTATGTTTTCTTTGAACATGATTTTATTGGCTATGTAATGCTCTTGTTATGTAATCTAGATAACTCTTACATTAAGTAATCTTGGTTGATAATCCTCACATTTCTAGTGGGTTTTGTTGGTAGATTGCTTGACTTACAAGTTTGTGTAAAATCTTTTTCTTTAGAACAACCCCCTGCCCTGTGTACCCCTGGCCTTTCACATGCTAGGCGAGCATTCTGCAACTGAGCCCCTGAACAATATTATAAACAGTAGTTTATTTCTAGGCTGATTTCCAAATTCTGATTGATACCTGCCCCATAGCTAAGGTACAGTACCAGACATATGTTAGTCCAACATTTAAAGCTGTGCGTCTGCTTATCATGTTATTGCTGTGGAAATCTCTGCAATCAAGTCAGCACCTAACAGAGCAGCAGGGAGTTTAATGGTAGTCCCTCTGTGCCCACACCATCCTGGCCAGAACAGCCGGGTGGAACAGACAGTGTTCACTTGGTACATCATGGGAAGAGAGGTGGTGGTGGGGCACCCTGGAAAGCAGGAATCCCTCATGGTCAGTAACAGCCGTAGTAAAAATTCTACTGGCTGGTACTATGCCGGACATGATGAGCACTTCTATAATCCCAGCACTCAGGAGGCCAGCCTGGGTTACTTAAGTGAGCTCAAGGGCAGCATGCACTACATAGGGAGGGAAGGAAATGAGAGAAGAAGGAAGGATGGATGGACGGATGGACGGGTGGACTCTGCCCCAGAACCTTTCTTACCTGTGGCAAAGACAGAGCAAAAGCAAAGGCAAAACATAAAACAAAAAACATCTTAATTTTTCCACCAAACCACACAGTTGTTCTAAATGCACATAGAATATTTAGCATGTTCTGTGCCATAAAGCAAGGAATAGTACAGTTTTTAAAAGTTAGGCACATATCTACAATATGTAATCATTCTACATTTGAATATCCAGAGGTAAAGTGTGAAGTCCATAGCAAATGTTCATAGCTGTTTCATTTACAAAAGCTCAAAACTAGAAATAAGTTAAATGTTTATCAGCAGGTGCTATGAACATCAAACTGGTATATCCATGCAACAGAGTACTCAGTAATAAAATGTAATAGGATCCATTTAACATGAATAAATGTTTATTTTAGGTTAATGTGAAAAAATCCAGACAAAACGAATACATACTCTCATTCCATATGTGTAAAACTTCTAGGACTAATCTTCAGTGACAAAAAAAATAGATCAGTGATTGCCGAGGTTTAAGGTATAGAGGACGATGTTGGGGGAGGTGTGCAAGGAATGAGAAAACTTCTGGAAGTGATGGATTATCTTAACTATGATGGTTTCGCAGGTTATATGTACATCAAAAAGAAGATTTTCGTCTTTCCATGCATAGAAATTACACACTTTGGAGGTGTATAGTTTATTATATATCAATTATACCTCAATATAGCTGTTTAAAGTATAAACAGTAAAAAAGGCAGCCAGAATTCTGACATTCTGCTGTGTACTGTGAAAGGCCCTGGCTGATTTGTACTTCTGTACAACTAGAATCAATGGAAAGTATTAGGAATCTCGGAAATAGTCTCCCTATTTCTCACAGAGGAATTTTTAATTTATAATGTTAGTTAATTTTAAGGTAGAGTTTTGCTTTGTGGTCCAGGCTCGCCTTGAACTTGCTGTGTAGCCTAGGCTGGCCTCAAAGTCTGATCCTCCAGCCTTAGTTTTCTGACTGCTGCGAATACAGGCATGCACTACCACGCCTGGGCACAAACATCTTTTATATTAGCATTATTAACAGTTGAGTGTTAAATTTTCTTTAAGTGGCAGCATGATATCTAAATGAGCTCAGTCACATTGTATTGGCTTGGACAGAGGAACAGAAAATGTGGTAATGTTAATTCTATGGCTCCCCCTTGCCTATTTAATCAAAATCAGATTTCTGAGCCGGTGGCTTTCAGTGTGCCCTGTGGTTTGGCCTTACGTTCTCTGTTCAGTCTTGGTTTACCCTGGCCCCAGAGTGCAGTGTGTTCTCCTGTACCTCACTGCCTTCTTCAGTACTTTTCACTGCCTCTGGTTCTTACCCATCTCACCTTTCATCTTTTCTCTGGTAAAATCTTACCTGCCTTTTAAGTTCCCATTTCGATGCTAATATGCTTTCTCTGGTCTCTGTAGGTCCTCTGTGATGGCTGTGTTGGTAGGAGTTAGTTTGTACCCTACACCTTGCACTCTGTTATGTCTTAAGTGACTTTCACAGTGCCGCCTAGCAGGCACCTTGTATGTATCAGGCATCTGTGATGGTGTGCAGTAGAAGAGCACAGTGGGAGCAGCAGTCAGTGAAGAAAATAGGCAGATTTGGTTGTGCAGTCTGGCTTCTATTTATTTAAATGTGTTGGGCTTGTTATTTGTACCTGTACATGTATTTATTTTTCTTTCTTTTTTTTTTTCTTTTCTTTTTTTTTTTCTTTTTTTGGTCTTTTTGAGACAGCATGTTGCTATGCAGTTCAGGCTGGCCTTGAGCTCACTTCGTAACCCAGGTTGATTTCGAACAACGATCCTCCTGCCTCAGCCTCCCGAGTGCTGGGATTACAAATGTGCACCACCACGCCCAGCTATTTTTCTTTTTTTTATTAGTACGTGTTCATAGTACATAATATTTGCATTCATCGTTGGAAGTTGGAACATATACATAACACATGTTAATTCTTTTTATTCCCTTTCCCTTCTGCCCCCTCCATATCTTGTTTCCTTTCCCTTTTGCAGAAGTTTTTCTCCCTGCTTCCCAGTCTTTCATTTATTTTATTGTAATGAATATTGATGAGACCCAGTACCAAGACAAGCAGGAGAAGCCAAATTTTTACTTTGTTTTTGAAGCCTGTGGTATGACCACTTGATTAGTTCAGAGGAGTGGTAGATTGACTATCCTCGTGACATATTTTCTTATGCAAAGTAAAATGTATGGAACCTCCCCACATCATGTAAAATGTATGGAACCTCCCCACAACCCCAGATTGTAGAAATGGGCAGTGGCTAGTTGGGAAAGGGAGAGGAAGTTCATAGCTTTAGATTAGCTGGACATAATTCCCTCTGGCTACATATAGAAATAACTATGTGAGAGTAAGAGTTAACTGGATGGTATCCTAACATTGGGTATTCATTGTGTCATGAAAAGAACATGAACTTGATAAGAGTCATGAATATTTGGAGAAACGTGTTTTTGAGATTTCACTTGAGAGCTGGCCTCTGGATTGTCCACACCCTTGCTCACGTCTTAAATTTTGTATTTCTAGGTCCGGACCCTATTTGTCAGTGGTCTGCCTCTGGATATCAAACCTCGAGAGCTCTATCTGCTTTTCAGACCATTTAAGGTACGTTTTCTATCTTTGAGAGGTTATAAGACATAAAAAGGCTATATACTACATCATTCATGTGGGCTTTTTGAATGAAGAAGAAAAAGTTTAACAAAGTACCCTGTAAAGAGAGAGATTTTAAAAGACTAATGAGTTAAAGGAGTTGGGGGCTGGGGATTTAGCTCACTGGCACAGCGCCTGCCGAGCAAGCGCAAGGTCATGAGTTCGATTCCCGGTACCAGAAAAATAAATAAATAAATAAATAAAGGAGTTAGCAGTTGAGTTCTAGTGTACAGTCTCTGAGTGACTGATCAAACTGCCTTTGGGCCTTCAATAATGAATGTAGAGCAGTCTTACGGATGGGGATGTGGATGAGTCAGGGACATGCCCCTGGTCACGGGGGTCTCTGCTCTAGCTGAAAGAGCCTTAGTGACTCCACTGTTTATTGTACTCCGGTTGTAGAGTCTGCTCCTAAGAGCTCATGAAAATATTATAAATCACCTTTACATATTTATATTTCAAATGCAATAATGTAAGTCAAGCCCTATTGTAGGTGGCTTCCTTATTAGTTGGAATAATATTCTTGGTACTCTTTTTGGAGAAATATATAAATAGGCTTTCATGAGTTGGATTAAGAACCTGACACTATTATTTTTTCCACAGCCCAAATCCTAAGTTTCAGAGTCACACAAGATTTTATAGGATACCTTTATATGAATCAGGGGGTCTCTTTCTTGGTATTTAGTGAAATATTTAATGCATTTGCCTGGCTTTCCTCACTATGGAAATAAAGATACTTAATGTTGTTGGAAGTAAAACCTTAACAGGAAATTGGACTGGTGTTGAAAAAACCATGGTACCAAGAAGAAACTTTGAAGGTCAGCCTCTGGAGAATAAGAGGAAGCTAGAGCTCATCAGAATGTGGGCCTGGAAGGCATCATGAATTCAGGGCCCCTGTCCAGGAGGTCTGAGTTGGTCATTATGGGTGTGTTGGCAGCAGTGCCTGGCAGGAGCCACTCTTAGATTAGGCAGTGGATAATCTTGGTTTCTCATTAAAGATCTGTCCTAGCTGAGGCGGAACAGGTTGAGGGGCAGGATTCAGCTTGGTGGAAAGATGGGATAGGATATAGGAGCTGAAAACACTGGGTGAGACATGAGGAAAGAAGATTGCAGGAATAACCAGGTTCAGCTGAAGTCTAGCTTATGTGCTGGTGAGTACCATGGGCTCAACTCCACTGTGACAGCCACTGCAAGATACAGAAGTACTGATGACAGCACAGGAGGAAACAGAAAGGCTTGGTACAGGGCTGGCTAACAGGAAATGGAAAAGGAAAAAGGTGTGTGGAGAGAGTGCCAGATTTATAAAATTTCCTGAGCTGCTTCTGCAGGGCTGAAAGGTATAAAAGGGACAGATTCTGTAAATTATGAATTCTTTTAACCTAGTTAATCTTCCTGACAAAATATTGTTAATTATATATATGGGAGGGGCAAAAATGCATTTCAACAAAATGCAATATTGAGATTTTATTAGCTAGATCCTTGTATGAATTAACTCATTTTATTACTACAGTTCTGGGTTAGCCTTGCTTTTTCAAAAGACTAAAATGAAACTGGCAGCAGTTGAATTAACTGTGCTCAAGTTTACACACAAGACTAAATGGCAGAGCCAGGGAGCAAGTGTTTGGCTCTGCTGTTGCTGTTCTAAAGTGTAAACTTATATGGTTCCTCTGTAACTTGAGAACACAGTATAACCCTATCCAGTGGTACTTTAGTTGAGTGAAATATCCTTTTATCCTTTGCCTCCAAGGCCTTCAGAGTGTTGAAACCTCTGGGATTTTTAGGCGAGAACCCCTTGATGAAAGGAAGGGCCAGCAGTGTGAATCATGACTTTTCTAGCCATGAGCTTAAGGTCTTGGAGGTAAAATGTTTATAGTAGCTAATTGGTGATGGAGTTTTCAGCTGGGAAGATGTGAGCATGAATCAATTCCAACATCTCAGTATCCTACCGAGATACCTCAGTGCTAAAGTCAGGACCTTGCTACACTCCTAACAACCCTCTTTTAATTAAAGTCCCTGGCAGTTGACCTCAGTCTGCAAATCTGACTCTACCTGATGTGTGTAGTATAGTCAATCATGTCAATGGTGTTTTCCCCCCTCTGGTATCATCCATCAGTGCAAGCTACTAGCCATTGATTATTTTGAGAAATAAACACACTTTGGTAGTCTTATCCTGAGGAACCAGGGTGGGAGCAGGGGTGAAGAGAGGTGATGAAAGGAAGGGATATTTTCATCTCCTTTGAGGATGAGCTGGAGTAGAAACCCAACAGGGCAGTTTTCATGTTGCAATCAGAATACCATCATGAAAACTGGCTGCTTCATTATGTAAGCAGAAGATCACAATCTAATGCAGTATCATTGCCTTTTGGTTTTAAAGTTTTGGTCAATTGGGGCTGGGGATTTAGCTCAGCAGCAAAGTGCCTGCCTGGCAAGCGCAAGGTCGTGAGTTCGGTTCCCGGTACCGGAGAAAAACAAAAAAAACAACAACAACAACAAAAAATAAAGTTTTGGTCAATAAATTGCGACTAATATACGCTCAAATGTTTCATTGTTATTTTATAACAAGTGTATGTATGATCAGTTCAGACTTGATTGCTGATGCAGGTTATGTTATTAAGACCCCTTCCCTCTCCTAATTTTATAAAATCTCTACTCTTACCTAAACCAAGAAAACAGAAAAAGATTGTTGACAAACACCTATTTTCCTGCCATTGCATAATTTCATGGAAAAAAAATACAAGAAGAGAAATGTAGATAAATGCATTAATTTCAGGGCTTGATTTCTTTTAGGTCTCATGTATGCAAGTGTGTGTGTGTATAATCACTTTCCCAGCTAACTTTGAATGCATTTGTGAGAAGAATTAGTAGTGAGAAAGGATTCATTTTTACTTGAGCAGGATGATACTACAACTTACTTTTTTCACTAGGTTTTTTTGTTTTTGTTTTTGGCTAAACTTGGTTCCTCTTTACTTTCAGGGCTATGAAGGTTCTCTTATAAAGCTCACATCTAAGCAGGTAAGAATTCCAAAATTTTGTGTAAAGGATCCCTTTTTTGTAATTTTCTTCAGGAATGTTGATGGGGCTTAACTTTCTTTTTTTATTCTAATTACGATTGAATTTTTGTTGTTGCCTTTAAAGGTGACATTGACTAGCAGATTAGCACAGGACACTTTGTACTTCTATAATCTCCAGCTAGCATGTTTGGGAGGTGGTAATCAGTGGCAGTTCCAACAAGCTTCTTGGGTTACCTGGGTGCTGTTTTTTTCTTTTTTCTTAAGCTGAACACTTGACAATCACCTGTCTCTCTGGTTCATCAGGAATAAGCTATTTTACAGACAGCCTTCTAGATGGAAGATGTAGTGTCCAAAGGGATAAGGACCCCTATTTACTTGCAACAATACGGTTTACATACCTGATTAAAAACAGGATTTTTAAAAGGCATCTCTTAGGATCTGAGGTGGAGATTTTCACGTGTAATTTTGGACATGCAGTGAGACCATAGGGCTTTTATCATTGTGTCATTATATTCCTTGCACTTACAGTGAACCAAAAGGTGATTCGGTTCTCTTTTCATTTTAAAAGATGAAGAAACTGAGGTACAGTGAATTTGATTTAGGAAAGTAGAACCTCTCCGACCCAAATTTTCCTCTATCCCCTTATTCACTGCTGCTCACCTTCCAACCACCTCTAAATTTTTTTTTATTCTCTAAATCCCTGGCTGTGTCCTTGAAGAACCACCCTCACCATCCCTTTGATTCATGTTAAAAATTTGGCTAAGCCACTAAGTCATGATTCTTTGGTACTGGCTTTCTTATTTCTACCCATCACCTGTGGTTGTTTCTTTGTCTTAGCTCTTCAGTTTGACGTTATCTTTGACAGCTGTTTGCTGACTTTTTTTTTCATGTTTCTCTTTCTTTCCTTAGCCTGTAGGTTTTGTCAGTTTTGACAGTCGCTCAGAAGCAGAAGCTGCAAAGAATGCTTTGAATGTAAGTATAACTAAGGATAGATTCTAGGGGTTCCTCAGGAGGTGGTGGGAAATAGTAAAAATCTCTTTGGGTCCGAAATCAGATGGAAGGAGTATGGCTGCTTAAATTAACAGGGAAGGATTCATCAGTTTAATTAGTCCCCTAAGGAGCTTCTTCCATGGAATGTGATCAGGTGTGCAGATTGTTTTCATTGGCTTTTACAGAAATGTTTAAAGACAAATTGATGATGTGGGTTTATCTTAATTTAGCCCCTTTATAGTTCATGGTGTGAATAGCACTGTTTTCTCCAGAGGAGATCATAGACATCAGTATGACCAACACTGGCCTCTAAATGACCAAGCCAAGAACAGAGCAGAACCTTGACTTTTCTTATTGCATGAAGTTTTTGGGTGTGTGTGTTTGCTTCTTTGTTTTTGTTTTTTGTTTTCTTCTTAAGGCACTTGGCTTTTTGTTTTTATACAGATCATATGCTTTATTCTGATTATTAAGTATTTGCATATACTGTAAGGCTTTCCCCAAACACATTTGGCATTGTAATGTGATAAATTATAGTCAATTGTAAGTGAGTAGAGATATTTGTAGGCATCTTGTCCATCATGTGTTTTGTGGCATTTATTAGCATTACTTTAGCAGATATTTTTCCCCTCTGGTATGTTGAAAAACAAAACCATTTAGGAAACTAAGCCAAAGGAACATGGAAGAAGGCAGAATTCAGTCCCAGGGGCAGAAGTCTCAGTGAAGGTGGGCTCTAGTATGCTCCCGGCAGTTGGCATAAGCAGCTGTGACTCAGTGTTGATTAAAGCAGGTCAGAGTATCTAGGTTGCTTCCTAAAAGGCAAGTGGCCACTTGACCATTTGCAATACAAATGCCGTCGTGTAGGCTTCGGGCAACTTGTTACCAGATTTTGTGTTTCTGAGCTACCTCTGAGTGTCCCTGCCAGCTGCTCCTTTGAGCAGACCGCACAAAGGGGGTTGTTAGAGACTTGGGATTGTGATGAGTTGGGGGCCCACGGGAAAGCTTTATGTCAGTGTTTACTCAGCATAACGGTGTCATTATGACCCAATCTTATTGTCTGTAGAAACCTTTTTTTTTGGTACCAGGAATCAAACTCACGACCTTGCACTTGCCAGGGAGGCGCTTTGCCGCTGAGCTATATCCTCAGTGACCCAATCTCGAAATGTTTTTTGACTTTGAAAAGAAGTATATACTCTCAGAAAAATGGGTTGGACCTTTTTCATGCATAGCACATAGGAACATACCTTAGGACTCAAGGATCTCTTGAGGAGTCCAGAATTTTTCTTCATTTGGATAAATGACTTCTGGTCAGAACAGCTGCCTTCTCATACAGAACAAAATATAAACCAGGTATTTATCAAGCGCCAGCAGTCCACAGCCAAGCACAGTATATAATTGAATGTTTTTATATAAAAATTATTCTATGGCCTGAGGGTGTAGCTGAGTGGTAGAGTACTTGCCTTGTGTGGGTGAAATCCTGGGTTTGATCTCCATCTCCTCAAAAGAAAAAGAAAAAAAACTAGTTTATGATTTTTGCATTGCTTAGATACCACCAGAATTTACTCAGTATAACCCAGTTTTACGCTTAAAACCATAGTTTTAGTTAGGCATTGTTTTCTTTTATTCTAAGCAGGCACACATCTTTCTAAATCTTCTGGGTGCTTTAAAGTTATGTGGGATGATGTTTCCACCGCATTGTTTCCACTGTTCTTGTAAAGAAAAGAAGAGTAGTTGAGGCACATTCACAGAGCCGGCTCTCTTTGCCTTGCCTGTCGTGTGAGTTCAGAGACAGCACTGATTCACTGTTTGAAGAACAATAGGCTTCACCACTGACCTCTGTCATCTAATAGCGCAATACTCCCTCTTTTCCTTAGGGCCTGTTTTTGTGTTACTTTAAACAGAGAGCTGCCGTTTATTACTTTAATGTTTTTAAATGATGCTCACAAACTGTTTCCTTTCTAAGTAGAGTACATTTTAAATAGAGTACAATGGACATAGTTTCAGTTTTCTTTGGTGCTTGAATGTTATCAGAAAGAGAAGTTTTTAAGCCCTTTTGCCCATGTACCAACTAGCCCTGGACCACTGTTGTCTGGAGCTTGGTCTGGTTGTACGTTATTCTTTCTCTTGCGCTCAACTCTTCCTTCTCACTGTCAACAGGCTGTGTACAGTAGCGGTATCCTCTCCTTGGTCATTAATGCTTCTTAGTACTTGGGAGGAACCCCAAATAAAAGAAGTCTAACTGTTCTGTGAGTCTGTGGAAAGTCTTCAGATTTCCCTATGGAGTAGGGAATGTGGTCTTTCACCTGCTCAGGAACGGATTGTGAATGTAGAACATTTACTGAGCTCCTGGCCTATCTCTTTCTTGACATTTTTTTTTTTTTTTTTTTTTTTCTCCGGTA